ACGGGGCTGGGCGGGCTGGTGCCGTGGCTGTTCCACGCCGTCAGGTACAGGTGGTGCGGCGCCCCGCAGGGAAGGCCGCGCACCGCCGCGCTCTCCACGCCCGGGTCCACCTCCGTTTCCACCCATTCGCCCGCGCGCCCACGGTGGTGCACGGTGTAACCTGCAGCAGCAAATGTGTCACGTTAGTATGTCACAAAGTAATTCTTTAAGATTTAGAGAGTGAGAAGACGAATAGGACGGAGTAAAGGAAAAGGAAACATGCAGTTATCTTATTGCTGCGGATTTCTGTGTGAACTTCAGACTAACAAGGACCAACAAATATACTGTATGTACAATGAAGCGATTCAAGGATAACCGAGACATACGCACAGTAGTGTAGAACTACACAGCTTGGAACATGTATCTTCTGCAAAATGGTTTAATTACACGTACGTCTCATTTCCGCTTTTGCTTCTGTTTATGAACAGAATCATATTATCCTGGTCAAGAGACTGGTCATCTGATATACATATATATATACATATATATATATATATACATATATATATATATATATATATATATATATATATATATATATATATATATATATATATATATATATATATGTATATATATATATATATATATACATATATAATATATATATATATATATATATATATATATATATATATATATATATACATATATATATATATATATATATATATATATATATATATATATATATATATATATATATATATATGTATATATATATATATATATATATATATATATATATATATATATATATATATATATATATACGTATATATATATATATATATATATATATATATATATATATATATATATATATATATATATATATATATATATATATATAGACACACACACACACACACACACACACACTTACGCATACACACACACATGTGTGTTTGTGCGTGTGTGTGTGTGTGTGTATGTTTGTGTGTGGGTGCGTGTGTGCATGTGAGATTGTACGAAATAAAAAAAAATGAAAAGGGAAGCACTGACTCGTGACGTTCCAATTCAAATTGGACTCATTGTCGTAATAGAGTAACATTATCGGGATGTTTAATTTCATCTTAATGCACACGCATTACTTTGCATTTATGTGCTTTTACCAGTCAACGACTAAACTTTTCACCTTATTCTTGTGTTTATTTCTATGCCCAGTCATTAGTCCTATTGTGGGACATTGTCAATTCGCGGTCCGGGCTGTGGGTACTCTTGAACTAGACGGAAGTTGGTAACCGGCTGAACATTCTTCTTTACTGCTAGATATCAGAAAAAAACACTATATTCAAAAGAAATCTTCCGTCATTTTTTGTGCATCTTTTCTGCGCCATAAACTACTGCTAAAGTACTCGGAGATAGTGCTGATGCTATGTAAAATGCAGTAGCATTAAATGTGGCATAAGTGTTATCACAAATACCAGGGGTGGTAGTTTAAGTATGATCAGTTGATGTGAACAGTAGCAGTGGTAGCAAGAGCAACCGTAGCAGATTTAGAAGTAATAGTAGTGTCAGTGGCTGCTTTAGAAAGAATAGTGGTTGCAGATATATTAGTAGCTGAGCTATTATATAAAAGAATAAGTTGTAGTAGTAATAGTAACACAGTATTGAAAACAGAATTATTATACGTAACAGTAGCTGTGGTGGTAGCAGTAGCAGTACTATCAGTGGTAGTACCAGTATTCATAACATAGCAATAGTATTAGAAATGGCAGGGACTGTAGCAGTTTTAAGAGTAGTATTGGTATGGCAGTGAAGAGTTCATTTGAACAAATGTACAGAAAATATGAAAGAGAATGAATAACTTGCATTGTGAAGTTATTCATATTCGCTCATATATTTTGCTTATAGTTTAATATTTGAAATCGTTGCATAAATAGTAGCAGTAGTGGTATTCATAGTAAAGGTAGACATAGTAGTGGTGGCAGCTGGCAGTAACAGCGGCACTGATTTCAGTATTAGCAGAAGCGGCTGTCGAGATTATTATCAACACAGACGCACAGCAGCAAGAGGAGAAAGGCGCTGCGCCCTTGCTCACCTAGGATGGGCGCACCGCCGTCTCCCGTGGGCACGATGGTCAGGTTCAGGGCATCGTGGGTGGCGTAAGCGAGGGAGAGAGTGGGCGGTGGGGGCATCGTGACGACGATCACGTGATGCGTGAGGCTGTCCACGCCCATCGTGTTGCTCACTTTGCAGGTGTAGTTGGCTGTCTCCCGCACACCTTGTGAGCGGAGGCAGTCGGTTTTACTTCTAGCTTTGGTGAAGATGTGCATTTTTGTTCTTTCATCTATATTTCATAAACATGCACATGATATACTTAAATCCAATTTGTTATGTATAGCTGTTGGGCCTCACTCACCCGTCAGATGCAGGTCCCCGCCAGGCAGCAGTTGCGTGAACTGGCCGGAGGTGATGGTCTGGCCTCCTCGCGACCACACGATGGAGGGCGCGGGCTTTCCACGCCCACGGCAGCCTAGGGTAACGCCCGCCCCTGCGCCCACACGCCAGGTCCGTCCGCCTCCCAGAGCTACGGGTGCGTGTGTCGCTGTGGGCTTGAGCAAAGCTGTGAGTCGAGGCGACGGGTTACCTTCGCCGGCGGCCGTGGTGGCTGTCACCCACACCTGAAGAAAAGGCAGGAAGTGAACTCAGAGGCAGAGGCGCTAAGGCAGAACACTTACTCTTATTAAAATACTTCGTTGTGGACATAACAATATTGCAAACATATTGCAAAATTTCACTTGATGCTGTCAGTTAATTGCAGAAAGACATCTGGCCTCACCTCGATTCTAGAGGAAGGAGCAAGGTCCCTGAGCTCCCTCCACGTGGACTCCGAGCCAGCTGCGCCCACGACGTCACGATCCCTCACCTGGACGTAATAAATGACTCGATACCTGCGTCCTCTTTACTTTCGATTTTATCTTACATTTCTGTTTATATTCACCTCTATCTACACCCACTTCCTCATATTCTCGCTTTTGTCAACCTATTACTAACCTGGTCGTCCTTGACGGAGTATAATGTATAATGAAGGATATTCCCTGTGGGAGGCTGAGGCGGAACCCATGTTACCAGCACCTTCCTCGGGCCAGTCACCGTCACCTGCACCTTTCCAGGGGCGCCTGGTACTGCAAGGAGACAATTACCTGTTATTACATTTTGTTTTATTAATTATTATTAATACAGTCAAAGTCTTACCACTACCGGTATTTTATTTCTGATATTGAGGCTTAAATGGTTATAATTCCAGTAAAAAGTTGAATATATATCTGATTTAAGCTGATACTTTATTTTTGTGTTCTAAGGAATACAGGCACCGAAAATACAGCTTATTCATCATATTAAGTCATAAGAGTATTACGTGCGTTTTCTACGTGAAAGGTTATCGACGCAACGGAATTTGTCGAAAGAAACTTAAAAGAGAAAACGTACTATCATCCTCCGTGACGCAGAAAACGGGTTTGTTGGAGGGACTATAACCAACGTTATTGAAGGCCTTGACTCGCACGCTGATGTTAGCGGCTGGCGGGAGCGAGTCCAGATTCTTTTCCAAGTTGGTTGTGTTGACTTCCCATTTTGTGCCTGTAGGAAAGAAAAGAATACCAATATACAAGTCAAGTGAGTATCAATCCGCGACCACGATATGCTTTTATTTTAATAGGGAAATTATATAAGCTGATACTGGACGTCATAGCTTATTAACACATATCCCATGAGGAACATACTGTCTGAAGGGTGGTGCGTGTGCGTGGTGGGCGTCGCGACGATCGTATAGCCAGCAACAGGAGTCTGACTGCAGTGCGTGGGCGGCTGCGACCACCACACCCTCACCACTCCACGCCCAGACCCTCGGCATGACACTCCAGCAGGAGGACAGGAGGGTGCTGAGAAGGAAAATAAAGAGAGAAGTCATAAAGTCATAAGTCATTACGCATCTACGTAATAGCCGATTTTGTACGGACATTACTTATAAGGCAAAAATCTGATTAGGCTTGATAAGAAGGCCCCTGAACAGTCGTTTTGGATTCTCTAACGGACAATGATCCCCGTTAAAGGCGATTTCCACTTCCTATCTAACGTAACTCACATTTACCTACAAAATGAACACTTCCAGATTCTATCTTCCCTTTAGTATACAGCACGAGAATTACCCAGTAAACCCCCCACCCTCTACCTTCCCCTTTTCACCCACAAACTACGGACTGACCGACGGCCGTGCGCCTCTCCCCTCACCGTCATGGCTCGTAGAATCCACGATCCTGGGCGTGGACAGCGGCCCCGGACCCGCGCGCGTGAAGGCCCGCACGGCGACCTCGTACAGGGTGGCCGGGATTAGCCCCCGCACCTGGTACTGCTCGAAGCCGTCGGCGTCTGAGGGAGGCAGGCTCTTAGGGGGGCGTAGGATACCATGGATTATGTTTCTCTTTATAAAAGTCATGAAAGGTGTCTTTCTCTCTCTCTCTCTCTGTATACACACACACACTCACATATGTATATATATATGTATGTACTTATTTATGTATGTATATATATATGTATATACATACATAAATACACACACACACACACACACACACACACACACACACACACACACACACACACACACACACACACACACACACACATATATATATATATATATATATATATATATATATATATATATATATATATATATATATATATATATATATATATCACAGAACCGTCGTGAGCCTCCGAGATCTGCGGAGCGTGAGTGCTACCTTTCGGCACCGAGGCCGGCCTGGTGATGAAGGTGAGGTGGCCCTGCAGGTTCTGGCGGCGGATGGCGATGGTGTAGCCTCTGAGGGTGCCGTGCAGGAGGTTGGGCGACGGGGGGCGCCAGGTCACTATCAAGGATCGAGGTCCTCCTGCGGCCAACCTCACGTCTCGCGGTGCCCCCGACGGAGCTGAGGAAGCAAGGAGGACGATCA